CCCCCCCCCCCCCCCCATAATCGTTCTGGCTACGGCACTGGCTTGTTGGGAAATCCGTTCACGGTGGTGAGTGAAAAACAATAAATACACTCAATAAACTGTACGTTATATGTTGTACGTTTGTGAAATAAGCCGGCCACAGTTTGATTGAGAGGGTACTTAACAATCAAAATATAATTATTTTGCATTTAATTTGAATTTAATGAGTTTGTCAGTGAAAGAACAGAAGCTGAGCCCAAATTGAGATCAATCACCCATAAAATATTTCTAAAAATGATTGTACCGCTATATTGCAATTAAAATAGTTCATACAGGTAATGCTGTACATTCAGTTTCAATCTTCTTAGTATAAAAATCCTTCCTATATTAAGCTTATATACCATCGACATATGTTACTAGAAAAATTATGATACTTCTTAAACACCTAAATTATCATCCTATTGCGTTTCAAACCGATTACCTATATCATTTTTGTGCGCAAGCCAATTTTTAAGTGGCTTTAAAAAACAGCCCTGCAGTAGTGGTGCCTAAATTACTTTGAATTTGTACTCGGGTAAAAGTAGAAGTAATTAACAATAAAACGACTTGAGTAAGAGTAAAAAGGAGGCAAAAGTACTTCAAGTAAAAAGTACAAATTAGTATCCTTAAAAAATACTTGAAGTACAAAGTAAAAGTACTATTGTCTGTAGGTGGGGGGGGGGAGGGGGGAGCGGCTTCTCCAATGGATTGACATACAAAAGACACAAAACAGCACACGCATATTCATAATATTTCACGGCATTGTCTACTTTCCAGACTCCGTTGAAGATCTAAGAAATCCATTAAATAAATAATGCTTATAAGTAAGTCACAAACGAGAAATCCCAAACGCATGTGGAGGTCCTACTACCTATCCCGAAATTAAAATAAATCCGGAATAAATCACGTAAAATCAAACAAAAGTTAGAAAGTAACGAAATACTTCGCCACAAAATGAAAATAACGAAGTAAAACGTTACTTCTTAAAATGACTTCGTTCCAAGTAAAAGTACTCCAGAAAAAGTTTACTTTGTTACATTCTCACTTCTCAAAAATACTACGCAAGTACAGTAACGAAATATATTTATTTCGTTACTTGACACCACTGCCCTGCAGTCGAAAATTTTCTTTGTGATAGAGATACCAGAATTAAGACACCAGTACCACAAGCTATACCCATACTAACATAAAATTGTAAAACGTTTTGCGCGCACGTTTTTTGACACACCCTGTTTAATAGTGACATTGAGGGACTGTTCCAAAATATCAACTCGTCAATTCAGCTCGACAGGTCTAATTTAAAAATCTCAGTTTTGCCTAGCCCTAGTATATCTCATAATGACGTGAAGCACGGAAAACCATGCAATTTATATTTTATTTGAAACATCATTTGCATTCCGAATTGGTGCTAAAAATTGTGGCTCTTGGGGCATCGCATTAAGTGTTTATAATGTTTAATGAATTTGATTTGCTGTTAATTAAATACATTAATTTAACAACACAAAAATAATAAATAAATAAACACTGAAATCACGATTAATATACTAGCAACAAGGAAGATGAAACTGAACAGGCTTATTTAAATTTAGACTCCCTTTGGACATCATATCAATAACTCGTTATACAATACTCAACAGTATTTAGAGTAGTACGAGAGGTTCATGGTTTTCAATATTTAAAGAAGAAAACAGCTTTGATCAGTTTTCTGTTTTTCCGTGTTAACGTCATTTATATAAGAAAGTCTATTTAGCGGTCTATTTCTGTGGGTTCGGTTTGTGTATTTAATGTAATATCGTTGCCCTGGCATGCGGCCGGGGTAAAGGGCGTCTCCCAATCTTTGGGGTACAAATATTTCAAAATCTCCTTGCCACCGTGAGGTACGGGCATTTGAACGTCAAAGAATTGCATTGTGGGCATGGGTTCTTGCACCATCCAAGCGGGAAACGTATGATACGACTTGTAGTTGTAATACAGGACCCAAGGAACCCATCCAGTCCGCTGCATCCAGCCGTTGTAATCGAAGAACACGTCCAAATCGACCTGCGCAAATTTCCCACGGATTAGATAAAATACGCTTGCCTGGTGCATTTTATCATTGACGCGAATTCCGCGTTCTTGGAAAGCTCTCACGAATTTTTCGCGCGGAATTTTGGAGAACGCCTCGTCGCCAAGGACACCCAAGTCGATATCGTAGTCCCAAGGAAGAGGACCTTTGCTGCGGTACGCGCCCCAAATCGAACCGTACATTAAAAAATGGTGTATTTCTAGTTCGTTTAACACTTCGCGGACATCGTAAAAGAGCTCCCGTAATGCTTTCGCTTCTTCGGGCGTTCGTTCGCAAGGAAACACGGGAGTTTGTGCGCTGTCGAGTTCGTGGGTGTTATGAGTGTCGACGTTAAGTTTAACGTAAAAAACAAGTTGGATTAAAAAATACACCGTCAATACAGACACTTTCCTCCGCTGCCGTCTCCCAATGGGCTTTGACACAAACCATCTTTTAACCGTGAGCGCATGGGCCATCAGCGCGCTCAGAAATAGGTGGAGAAACTCGTAGATCCATGCGCGAATATTTTCTGCAGTGATCGATGACGCATCGATATCGTTCAACGCGTTCCAAAGTTTCAACTGCATTTTGCCAGCCATGTTGAGACTATATAGATTACCAAGGTTGTCGAGAAATTCTTCTTTGAATATTCGAGAACAGTTACGATTCGTTACCAGAAATGATGAGTGTTAGATGCATATAGCAGATTTGTAAAGTTTTGAGAGTTTAATACGGTTCTCAAAATATGCAGATCACCAACGTGTAGGTGGTATATCTTTGTCTGATATTTCGACCGTTTCAATTGCCTCGCAGATAGTGGACTTATTCTCGTTAAAAATATCTCAAACGCCTGGTTACTAGTACAGTACGCGTAATTCTCTACAATATTCTCTAATCCGACGGGCAAAACAAATTTAAAAGCACAGCAGTTTTTGTTCTTGTTTGCCAGATAGTACTACACGACTTTTAAAAGGTATATAGCTGGGTTATCAGGTTCTTTAACGATGCGCAGAGACCAAAGGTATTAATCCAGAGTATTCTTCAAGAAACTGGATAAAAAACACAACCGTTTCCAACTCTTGTTCACCAGAGAGTGACGAGATGCTTCCCCCTTATAATGATATCTTAAACGTATGCCACATGCAATAAATGATAGTTCTGCAATAAACTGTTCCCACCAAAACGGTAATATTTCTTTTGACCAGATATTTTCACTGTTCTCGGTTGTGGCGTTTTAAGCGGGCGTTTGTACGTTTTGTTATTGAATTCACGACGAGATATGAATAGCCGTAAGCTTGTTTACATGATATTATACGTCAAATGCCAAGTAGCAACTCGTGCGTACGTTGACGTATTCGTTGATGTCATTACTGCAATTAAAATCAAAATGGTCACAAGATTTCAATTTTGAGAGAGAAATTTCCCATTGAACGGGAGAGCCTTTATTTGAGAATTTCGATTGCTCAGTGCTTTCCTTGAAAGCGTATTATTTAGAGGATAGCACGTAATTTCACACTGGCCGGGGGGATATATTATGCATGAATATTAAAATTGCGAAAATATTTCAAAAATTTTAGTGGACAAACCGGTTTGTTTTTTTGTCGACGCTATTTCACCCAAGTGGAATCTTGCCACATTGCTTGGTAATCGTCTAACTTTCACAGAATTAAGGCTGTACGTCGAGATAAAGCATAGCGGCACGAAAAAGGACCTTGAGTAAAACAACATCTCTGTGTTGCAATATTTCCTCTGAGAATTACGTTCCTAAAAAGTACGGATGGCCGCTATTGTAAATATATAAATGGGCGAAAAATTTTCAAAATAAAAAAAATAGTTTATAAAATTACACGTATAAAAAGTCTTTGTTTTCTTAATTCCCTTTGTCCTTGACTTCTCTACAACAGCTACAGCCACGGGGTTCCATATAAGTAAGACAAAAAGGCTTTAAGACCAAAACTTCCTTTGGGCAAAACTTCTTCGTAGCCAGACGCCATTTTTTACGTCTTTTTAACGTGGGCAAACTTAACATATTTCCAAAAACAAAATCTTTCAATTTCTCACCAGCCTCGAGTATTTAATTGGCAATACCAGAACAGTCTTCTGCCCTCTGCCGACCTTTGCGTTTTGCCCACTCGCGTAAAAAGCCCAGATCAAACCGCAGGACAAGAGATCAGTGGCAGTCACGCGATCTTAATTGATTAGCTGTTCTTAATGCTTTCCCAACACTAGCATGTATTCTAGTTAAGTTAAAACATGGTTGGAACACTCATCGAACCTTTATTTTGTTAATCTAGAACTTGAAATGTCCCCTGTAACAATGCATGACTCAAATATTTAATTCCATCACACCATTTCAAACACTAATAATAGTAAAACTAGGAGTTACTATCGCAAAGAAAGTGCTGCCTTTTTGCCACATGAACTGAATGCAAAAGTTTATACTTCTTGACAATTCTCTAAAGGGAAGTTTACTTTTGACCCAGTGGGCTCATTTCCACGTTTCATCATTGGTATATAGCATGGCAGGCCTGCACATGAAGCCGGTTGTATGACTTGTATCACTACTAATTACATACGGTATACCAGCGAAAATCTTGGATAAGTTATATATACATATGTGGCTGTACATTTCGTTATACATTCGTCATTTATGCACATACAATTTTTTTATTTATTGTATTTCAAAGTTATTTACATATTTTCCTAACTCTTATCAGGAATGTATAGAAATTGATCGTTTTCCATAGCGATTTAAAACTACCATTATAATTCCTCATAACTCTTTTAAGAAATTTTAGTGAAGTATTGCAACATGAAAAATAATGATATATTCGATTTGTCAACCACATTATTCGATTAAATTTATTTTATTGATCGATTAAATTGTGTGTACTATTGTATCGTTTAATTTTGTCGAAGAATTCACACAAGATCGAGTATGTTTAAGACAGCCATAGCAGATAATATATATATAAATTATTAGTGAGATTTTGGCATCGAGACAGGCTGTTGGCCTACATCTTCGACCGTGGGCTGGACCACTTATGTCAGTTGACAGTATGACATCAATGCACTAATTATACACAATACATTGTTTAGAGTTAACTCTTAAGACTAAACCAATTCAAAACAAGACAAAATATTTCACTTATTATTGAATTATCCTCAGAGCTATGACGAACTATTCCGTTCAGAAATAACTGACAATAGTCATTGAATTCACTTAAGCGCGATTTCAATGCAACTGTAGCGCCGTGGTTATGACCCGTGAAAATTATGTAAGAACGTAACAGTTTCAACAATTGCGGGGTGTTGGAATGCTCAAGAGAATTCAATTTATACAGTCGCCTTTGTCTGAGGGTAAAAATGCTATTGTTGATCGGCTTTTGTCCGCCAACAAGCACAAGTTGTGTTCGCATTGCTTGTCCCAAGTTCTCAACAAGTAACTTGTAGTAAAAGTTGTAACAATCTTGTTGATATTATCACACTTTTGCAAGGTTGTTCCAACAAGTCCGATACAGTCATACAGTCATGATATAACAATATTGTTACAACCTTGTGTCGTCAACCTTGTAACAAATTCTTGTTATATCATGACTGTTTCGGACTTGTTAGAACAACCTTGTAACAAGTTGTTAACAGCTTGTTCCAAATAGCATTTTATGCTAATAAAACTGCATTAACACAACATCAATATTGGGAGGCGGGCATCTCTTTGTTGTCAAAATGATAAATCTACAATTTAAAGATTATAGGTCGTGTGTTGGCGAAGAGAACCCCTCGTATCTCGAACCTCTGGCAACCCAGAGTACGAATCGGTCGAATGTCATAATATTCTGCACCACTCTCTTCAATTCCCTACTCTCGCCCTAGGGAATCCTACAATACATATCACCGGGGCTTTGTGTACATTCCGTAACGCTATAAAATTTATTTTTGTCCAGTCATAAAGACCTTTATATCAATACAAAGTGGCCGGAAAATGATCCAATATCTTCAATTTAAAAAGCATTTTGTTTCTGAAAACCTTAAATATGTCATTGAATGTCCGTTTAAAAAGTTCTCCACTATATTGGCCCTCTGCCTTTGTCAACATAACTGTGAGCTCCTAGCATCGATGAACTGACTTGGTTTTCATGTGATCGTAACGGTCGTAAAGATTGAGTCACGATCTTGCTCATCAGCCGAAATACAACATTTTAGAACTGAAAATACGCGGAGTGATTATAACTAGAGAATACTTATGATTTATATGTGGTTTACAGGTATAAACTATTATAAATCGTGACTCTATTTTTACGACCATATATGACAGAAAATTGAATGGGTAATTATCCATAGTATAATTTATGCAAGGCACTTGACTAAATTCGTTGGCGTAGGAGTGCTCTCTTGTTTGTCGTCGCAACGGCAATGCCAATGAGTGCACCTATTCCCTAATGAACAAAATTTTGATCTAGACAAGTCTAGACAAATATTTCACCACAGCTTGAAAGAGCATCACAAAATTAGTAATATTCCGAAGTTTCGTTGCGAAATGTTGTAAAATGTGGATAATATAGCCCTGCGAAGTTTGCCGTTTTTCAGTCATTTTGTCATAGATATCTTATATACACTAGATAGCGCATCTCTTTTAGTAAAATTGAAGCCAAGAATATTCCAGCGGTTACCCCCATTTGAATAGATGGCGGCCATGTTGGAGTTTCCCACTCGCTAATAAACGCTTAAAAAACAACAATAACTTTCATCATTTGAATAGTTTGAAAATGTATTTGGAATAGGTTTAACTTAATGTTTAAGTTCCCTGTTTAAGAAATAGAAAACATACGAGTCTTCTCATTTCATGGGAATATCCTGAGTCTGCAATCACGGCTTCAATTTTTGAATTGCAGAATAATTACATGCACTATCTAGTGTATATAAGATATCTATGCATTTTGTATTACGCACGGGACATTGATACCTTTTTTCAGAAAGCGGTATCAATTTCCCGTGCGTAATACAAAACGACTGAAAAACGGCAAACTTCGCAAGGCTATATTATCTGCATTTTACAACATTTCGCAACGAAACTTCGGAATATTACTAATTTTGTGATGCTCTTTCAAGCTGTTGGTGAAATGTTTGTCTAGACTTGTCTAGATCAAAATTTTGTTCATTAGGGAATAGGTCCTGATTTTTGTTCTCGATTTGTATATTAGAGATTCCTAGTCGTGCTTTGCACCGGAATCACAGGGCCGTATCGAAACAATAATATAATTGGCACTATACTAAATATTTGATATTTATATTTTTATACATGCAGCCGGCTGTTGCTACAGACATAATAAAAAGATAAATAGTCACCCTACCTTAGCTGAAGTCATTCTTTTTGCTAAGCGAGAAAATGCATTTTAATTTAGGCATTGATTACGTCATCAAATTACTTTAGTACCCAGTGCGCGCGCGGAACCTCGCGCGCACCAGTATTTTCAGAAAACTGCCATTGTTTCCCAAAGGTGGACAAACCAGGAAACATTGTTTCCTAGCCATGTTTCCCGAAGGTGGACAAACCAGGAAACATTGTCTCCTAGCCATGTTTTCCGAAGGTGGACAAACCAGGAAACATTATTTCCTAGCCATGTTTCCCGAAAAACCAGGAAACATTGTTTCCTAGCCATGTTTCCCGAAGGTGGACAAACCATGAAACATTGTTTTCTAAGCATATGACTGTACGAATACTAAATGACTATATACAAATTTAATTTCAATCCTTACTAAAGCTGGAGTAATACGAGCAACAAAATTGCCGCAACTATCAACAAAAAGTGATTTCAATGCTTGTTAATTAAAAATACTCACACCTAAACAGTAAACAAACATGATACAACATTCGTAAACATTTTGTCGTTCGTATTACGTTGCCTTACATATAACGCCTCGAATAAAACATAATCCTAAATTATTTTAACCTTTCAACTGTACTATAGCAAAGTTTGTCAGAGCCGATTTCTCAGAGTTTATGCCAGCGTTTTCTGTGGCGATTTTTCAACCTTCTCAATAAATTGCAGCAAAAAGCACTCTCTCGTTAACATTTCCTCAATAGTGAAAAGATTCGACCAGGATTTGGGTTGAGCTGGCAGTTAAAATTTACCACATTTTTTTTAAAGAGACCGTGGCCATTCTTCAAAACAAAGTATCGAGAGTTTGCCATATGTTACAGCCTACCATTCTGTTGTCATCGTGGAATGTCACAGCCTACAACGTGCTACACATGTAAAAATCTCGCATCTTGTAGCAAGTCTGCTAACAAGCTGTCAACAAGTTGTGTTCGCACTGCTTGTCCCAAGTTGTCAAAA